TTCATCTGTAACTCAGAGAGACCGAAGTCGGAGAGCTTAGGGGTTCGCAACAAGTCGGCGAGGGTATCCGCCGCTTTTGGAGGCGATGTGGAGTTCATCCTCTCATCATCCTCCTGGTCTTCGTCTTCTTCGGTTCCTAAGCTGGTTTCAGCCTCTTCTGCTTCTTGATCATTTGGGTCTAATGGAGGGGGAGGAAAAATAAAAAGTGTCAATTCAAGTTAAGAGAATCTTATTGGTGTTTCTCCAGGTTTGAAACATTTCAAAGACACAATGAAGGAATGAGACTTCAATCAACGTTTACCGTTTGGAGTTTCTGCGTCAGATGGAGCTTGGTAACCATATTTTTCCAGGTGTGTCCTGATTGTGTGGATGTCTTTAGAGACCCTCTGCTCCATCACTCGACAAGCCTTAATGAAGCTGCTAACCTCGTCCTCTCGTTGTTTTTGCTCAGCCAACTCTCCTTGTAGCTGCGCCTGAACAAGCACAGACCAGAAGACGACCCACTGATTTTCATAAATGTTGTCCTACAGGCTGACGACTGTCTCTTGCATTCATCTAGATATAGTCTATGCAAAAACAATATGCTTAAAAAGAGAGAATTAAGAATGCAGAAAAAAAACAACAAAAAAAACAACACAATTCCAAATTCTTTTATCAAACGAAGGAAATTACATATATTAGCACAGCTACGGCGCACGTAGTTACAGAAAACAAACATTAGTGGCCTAGGATGCCAAGCTGTGTTACGGATCTGTTGGTTAAAGCCGAGACTCGGGCAGGTGTACCTTGAGACTGCTGACGTCGCTGTTCACTTCATGAAATGCTCGCATCGCTCGGACGGCTGCGTCTGAAACGGAACAAACCGATGTTAACATATTGTACATAACGAGATACATGAGAACATGCTTTGGAGTAAGAACAGAGCAGCGACGCTTGTTGCTCCCTCTCTCACCGCTGTCGCCATCCTCGTTTCTTCGGCCCTCGAAAGCTTGCTGAAGTTTCTCGGTTTCTGCCTCTAAAGTCACCGCAATCTTCCTCAACTTGGAGAAGAAGTCTCGGGTCGACTCCATTTTGGAACAGGAGCCCAAATCTACTAAAAGGGATTAAAGCAACGCGTGAAAGATCCGAAAGCGCAGACGACTCGTTTGTTTACCAGCTCTCTCGTTGCCAGAAAACAACTTTTCGATTTTGGCGCCTCTTCCGGCTAAAACGGAAGTACTTTCTTCTTCTTTTACTAAATGTGTTTGCTTTCCCATGTTCGCCCCCTATGCACACTGCGTGGCTCCCCATGACGCACACAAACCGAACCGAAGAAAAAGGCATATTTGATAGATAGATAGATAGATAGATAGATAGATAGATAGATAGATAGATAGATAGATAGATAGATAGATAGATAGATAGATAGATAGATAGATAGATAGATAGATAGATAGATAGATAGATAGATAGATAGATAGATAGATAGATAGATAGATAGATAGATAGATAGATAGATAGATAGATAGATAGATAGATAGATAGATAGATAGATAGATAGATAGATAGATAGATAGATAGATAGATAGATAGATAGATAGATAGATAGATAGATAGATAGATAGATAGATAGATAAAATAATGATAATAGATAAAATAATGATAATATGGTCCTGTAATTACATTCGGTTGCCAGAAGGTGGTGGTGTACATCAGTCAGGATATTCTCTCCGCTACAGAATCAGTCTTTCTGTCACAGACCTAAACAGCCTGGTGTGGCAAATAGCAAATAAGTATTTGGGGTCATTTTAATTATCAGACACCAAACAACCAAGAAAAAATGTAAAATCCCGGTTTTACTTTTCGTCGGGTGAACGTTGATAATAATGGCTACTAGTCCCCCAAAAAAAGTAAATTATAAATAGGGACGTCTGTTAAAAATGTCAAGATGACTGTTAGTTTCTATATCCAGTGCAGCATTCATCATGCTTTTCCAATTCATTAGTTGAAACCTATCAAAGGTCACTAGTACATTTTATTTATTTTTTTTACTAATGTTAGCTGACCAACATGACCAGTATAGATATATTTTGATGTCCAAACCAAATAATTTACATTTTTGTCCATTTTCTTTTTGGGGGGGTATTGTCTTTAGTAGAAGCCCATACTTCATGACTCAAACAAATGTTCTAATGTATTTTTTTTTAATAAAAAAAAACAAACATAACTGGACAATAGCTTACAAGCCACATACAAAACCTGTTATTTTATGCATTATTTTTGAGCAGAAAACCGTTTTTCTCCACTTGTTTCACGTGTCGTACCAAAATGAGGCAGCGGCGTTCCTGCTGACCGAAAAGGACAGCTGGCAGGAAAGGCAGCCGAACGCCCTCTGTGTTCCTCTGATCACAGTCCCGGGCGGTGGTAGAGCAAGGTTGGACACGGCTGCAAGCCCAAACACTGGGTGAACCATCGGAGGCGTGGGGGTCTCCAGGTTTCCCAGCAGGCGTCGTTAAAATTTAATTGTGTCGGATTTTGCCAGTCATCATGTTGAGGGAATCGACCTTCGGGCAGCACAGAGATTCACAAACTTTATCGGCACACACGCACTTTGACTGGGAGCTTGTATCAAAAAAAATAAAAAATAAAAAAAATATGGTGACCCATTTTGATTCAGAGTTGGGTTGTGGGTAGTCGCATTGACTCTGCTACTTTCAGACACAATTTGTTTTACTTTTACTTGAGTAAAAATATGCTGAAGTCGCGCTACTCTCATTTCTGTGATGCTCAAATAAGCAACAGAGGCGTAACAATATCTTATAATGCGGCCTTGTCAAAGCGGCCATCTTGGAAGTATTTGTTTACTTTTCAATTAACTTACTGAGATCCGATATCTGTTATTTAGTACGGCATTGCTGACGATTCGCTTCAATAGACACAAACTATCCATCAGAGGTCAAAGGTCGTAATGGCGCCTTGCTGTGGAGGCTGTCGATTCAGTTTTGTAGGAAGGATATGAAAGTCTCTATCTGTTTACACACGTTTACATTGAGGCTGAATCTTAATAACTCAGGAGAAGCAAGAACCGCCGTCGATGCTATCCTCAACCCAAACGCGTCTGCAAGAGGAGCCACGAGGAACACAGCTGTTCAAGATGAAACCTCCGGTTTCCAGACCAAAAAGATGAATGTGGCAGAAAACATTTGGGTCCTCTGGGGAAAGCAGCTCGCTGCATTCATGTCCTCACTGTGAAAATACAAAGGAGTATTTAGATCATCTGCGCCTCAACCTTGCAAGAAGCTGAGCTGGCAAATATTTTGCCAGCTGAAGGGGAAAAAAAAAAATGTTTTCCTTCTCCGACTAAAAAAAAGAAAGAGTGAAATTAATGAGCCAACGGCTGAATGACTCCAACACTAAAGCAAACAAAAAATATGACGACATTAAAAGCCTGAATGTAATTTACGCTGCAAATCCTAGTTCGACGCAGGTCAGGGCACAAAAATAACCACACAAGTGATGTTATTATGTAAGAAACAAGTGATTACTGAGGTCAGTTTCCTCTGAAATGACCGCTCACATTAGGCTGGGTCTGCGTGAGTCGCCGAGGGGAAACCACACAACGACAGATGGAATGGTTTTCAACGCATTCTATCGGAGACGCCACTATTGAATTTTCTTTTTTTATAGATTATTTGTTTTCATTCACTGCTGCTAAGAAACATTTCTAAACCCCCGAACTGAAATGAGTCCAGAGTGCTTTTAATAAGGGGCTTAGGACGGAGAGAGCCAAAGTCGATGGATTAACGCTAATGCTGAATGAGGCAGAAAATCGGACTGAAATTAGGGAAGAAGCAATGGTTTGGTAGTGCGCTGCTCTTTTGAGGGACTAGTTAAACATACGTAATTTAAAAAAAGAAAATCATGTCAATGACTAACCATCACCGTCACGATGAGCTTATTTTTTTAAGCAGGAACCGAGAAAGTCTCGAGACAGGGATGGAGACAATGAGCCTAAACGTCCAACCAATGCAATGGCTGATGTGTTACAAAAGCCTTTAAGTTCAACTTAGAATCTGTAGAAATCCTTTAAAATGAATCCTCCATGGATCCTCTCTGTCCAGTTTGAATGCTGCAAAAACACAAAGTCTTACCAAGTATTTTTGGTCTAGTTCCTAGTGCAAATATCTCAGTCCCCTTGAAATAAGACAAAATTGACTTACATGTAAGTTCTGATCAAGATACAGGAGTTTGTTTTAAGTGAATAATTCCTTAATATCAGTGAAAAAGTGCTAATTCCACTCGCAGACAATTTCAACTCTAACAGGACATTTTGCTCATGTTTTAAGTGAAACTTTTTTCATCAGTATTAAAAAATTATTGACTTAAAACAAGCTGCCGAAAACGACTGCACTAGGAACTAGACTAAAAATCTTTGGTAAGATTTTGGTTTTTTGCAGTGTAATACATCTGTCTCACATAGATATTCCAAGGCTTTTTTTTTGTTGCATTGCACTTTTGATGATTATGACTTATAGATAATGAAACCCCCCCCAAATTTTCCGTCTCAAATCGAGAATGCTGTGAAAGAGAACCTTAATGGAAACTCGTGAAACGGATCAGTCATTTACACACAGGACACAAACGTCAACACTGACGCATACTAGGAAATAGAGCGGAAGGAAAAAGTGCGGTAGGAACAGGTCCACCAATGATATTGGATCTATCACGCAATATTCAATAAAAAAAAAAAGTACCAGTATTTAGAAAGAAGAATGACAAATATTTCAGGATAGACCGGTAAAGTGACTGCACACAATGTCGATTCAGGGAACTGAACACAGAAAATGTAGAAAACCGTGTACTGAATCATGTGCTACTTTATTTTAGTCTGTAGCATAAAAAACCCCCAACGTCTGTGATTGTAACATGCTAAAAATATGGAAAACAGCTGGAGAGGAGCCATAGATATTCGTGCAAAGCTACACGCGTGGCGGACGAGAATGAAGAAACAGAGAGCTGCATTTAGAGTTAAGATAGGTTCGCTTTATTGCTCTTTATTTCAGACAAAATAAAACAGTCTACATAAATTAAAGGAGTAATTACAAATCCGAAAAACATTACATCCATTCTTCTCAGAGGCATCCGGACTGTTATATCCTGTGCACTTATGGTAAGTATCCTTGGATCTCCCGTCTTGCCGCGACGTTGAGGTAAATACAGATCATATCTGGAGGAAGGAGAGAAGTCAGCAGATCTACAGCTATTTTGAAGGAGACCAAGATATGCATAATCAAGCCAAGCTCTATTGTAGTAATATTCGTCCGTACAGTTAAGGCCACTTTTTAAAAAAACAAAGAAAGAAAAAGAAAACAGAAGGAAGGACAAACTGACCAGGTAGTGTATTGCTAATGAGGTTAAAGACAATAAACGGCCCCAAAAATCAGACGTGGCTTAGATATGATCCACACCGGCTTCATCTGCAAGAGATGGCGTTCATTTAATATTAATGGAAACCACCGATGTGCTCCGGTCAGACTGCTCTCCAGAAGTGGTTCAACAACATGGCAGAGTGCAAACACTGGCAAAGGAAACAGTGGCTAAAAATAATAACATCTACCGGCCGTCTTAGCTTTTTTTGTTGTTGTTGTTAACAGTAAACAGCTTCCAGCTTCAGTTGAGGTTATTCAATCAGACTGTAAACTGACCTTCAGCGTGAAGGTCTCTGCAGCGCTTCGTTCTGCAGAGGGTGGGGCGGAAAAACACAGGAAGCGCTGATTGTTGGTTCGTTTTGCTTCACCTTGGGCATGGACAGTTCCAGTCTCCCGTGGGAGTCCATTGATTTCTCTATATTTTTGGTCTCACTTTGCTGTTTGGCGTCTATAATAGGCTACAAAACTGACTTTAATGGGGTTTGGGCAAAGCGGTGGCTTAGATGTATGCTGGAAAAAATAATTAAGTAAAAATAAGTAATTAACGTAATTAAGATAATAATGTCTTCGCCTTCCTAAAATAATGGCCTAAGTCATTTTCTTTTTGCCAAACTACAAAAAAAATAAAAATAAAAAATCACTTTTGGCAAAATATGACTTATTATTTTAGGAAGGTGACGACATTACATATAATAATAACGGAAAATAGTTTAAAAACAAAAAACTTATTGACATTTCACGAATCGGTAGAGAGAATTGGTAAAGAGAAAGCAAATGGAGATTTAAAAAAAGAAAGTAGACTCAGAATGGCAATGTTGGAAAAATTGGTTTCAACTAAAGCTGTCAGTTTATGGAACAAGCCGGACAGTGAGGTGAAATCAAAGCTAAATCGAAATCTCTTTCTGCTTTTTAAAGACATCTGTAAAAGATCATTGTGATGAAGCAGTTTGCCACTGAATGACTTGATGCTTTCCTGTGTGTATTTGAACTATTTTCTGTGAGCTGAATCGCTAATTTTCTGTGTGAATCTGCAGAAATATCAGAAGTTCACACTATGCCCTGCTCCTTTTTATTCTTGATTTCTTTCAATTATTACATGAACTGGGAATGAAATACAGAAGTGAAATAAAAGTAAATAAAGAAAAATGTCTATAAAATTTATACTCATAATAAATGTATGTAAACCCCTGACCTGCACTGTGCCTGTTGTTAACCACACATATGAAATTAATATGTGGAAAAAAAAACTTTCTTTCTCCATCTAGTATAAATACTAACTGGTATTTAAACTACATTTCCTAGAAGAGCTTACAGCTCCAATAAAACGTGACAGGAGAGAATTTTGTTTTTGCAATAAACGGCAATAATTCAGCAAAAAAAAAAAAAAAAAAAAAAAAACACCCCAAATGCCCTATATGATGAGGTCTTTGTTTGGTGTAGATAAATAGAGAATTAGAAGGCAAAAACTCTTCATAGTCTTGTAGCATTTAAAAGGTGCTCAACTTTCGTTCATGTGCAAAAAAAACCCCTCTTCACTGGCTCTCCGTTAGCCAATCAAATGCCCCGAAAGTGCATAGGGTTAGATCCGGATTCCTTCACCCCCCCCCCCCCCCCCAAAAAAACAAAAAACAAAACAGTTAATACTTTTTTCTTTCTCACACAACTCCACCGTCGGCGTTGACGAGGACCATCTTTTCTAGGTCCTTCTTGATGTCCGGGAAGCCCCGGAGCGCCTCCTGAAAGTCGTCCCAGGACAAGGAGAAGCACTGGCAGTCGGTCAGCGCCTTCACCGTGGCCAGATGCTTGCCTTTGGTCAGCACGCACGTCTCTGCGGACAGAGGACGGGGGGGAAGAAACGTCAGACTAATGAGCGCGCGAGCCTCGACGGCGGAGGGAGCGGATGAGCTCTAACGGTTAATTTGTCGTTAGAACGAACCGACGTTAGCCGTTAGCTCCGACGGTCTCCGGTGCCAACCGGCCTGGGACGGGTTCCAGCCCAAAAAAGCCACTGAATTAAGCAAATGATTTAAAGTACGGAGGGGAGAGTTAGGAGAGGAACGAAGGAAGAAAAAAAAAAAAGTCACTATATGTGATCAATCTGCCAAATGGGGAAAAGGAGGAGGCTTCACAGCGAAGCTTGAAGCTGCCAAAGCCGAACATAAACACAAGGACCAACTGGCATTTTCAAAAACCCATTTGTCATGCTCAGAAACACATTTTGTAAAGACAGAACGCCCTGTGACAGTAACTCGACACGACGTTCTGCCAAAATACAGTCACAAAAGTACCAAAAAAGTAACAAAGAAATAATTTCATTGGGTTTTTTTTTAGGTACTATTAAATGTCACAGGGTTACTATCAAAATAAAATTGGAAGTTCAGCAAATACACTTAAAACGCCTTGAAAGATGTCACATTTTGCTATGTGACCATAAAATTAGATTTAGCCCGTTTACTCCGATAACCTTAAGTGAAATACAGTGCAGCCAAACTCATTAGGTAGGGATATCTGTAACTTCCGATACAGATATCTGAGGATTAGTATCAGCCGATCTGATACAGAAAATATTTTCTGAATTGACTTAAAACGTAAATTCTTTGAAACGCAAACATAAATATACAGAACTACAAATTTGTGTGATAACCCTGCACCAACACAGCACACTTAGATATGCTGATAACTGTTAACCAAGCGCTCCATGAACTATGAAACACTGGCTAAAAGGAAGCTATTGTTTTTGGTTTTACATACAAAAAAATGCTTTTTGTGGAGGAGGACTAACACTGAAACCCTGAACCCAGCAGCCAATAGGTGAAACGTTGTGGCAGCATTATGCTAGAAGGTGCTGTTCTTTTTTTTTTTCTTCTTTCTGTCAGCTGAACACAAATGCATGCCACACTTTTCAGAGTTTAGAAAGCAAAATAGTACCGTCAACTCCCCGGAATTTACAAAATCAACTACAATGTAATCAGAAAGTGGGTTTAGAACAGCTTTCATTGGCAATGTTTTGAAAAGGACAGCTGTACACAGAATTAAAAAAATTGCTGTGATGATTTGATAGTGATCACAATGAGGGAAACGTCACGTCCTGTTTTACAAATGACAAAATATACAATTTGAAGTTTTCCGAACGTAACCAGAGACGTGGAACAAATCGAACCATACCTCCAAAAAAGTCTCCGTCGCAGAGCTCCCTCTCATATGACTCGGTCTCCATCACGGCCTCTCCGTGATCGATGAAGAACATGCGATCGCCCGGGACGTTCTGTCGGACGATGACATCTCCCTCCTGAAAAACCTCGTAATGTAGCTTGAAGAGGACGTCGTTGATGAAGTTCTCCTCTCTGTTCTGAAACATCGGTACTTTCTTCAGCAGCTGGCTGCACATTACCATCAGGACTTGCTGGGAAAGAAAAGAAAAAATGATTTCCCATTAGAAATGCAAGGATACAAAGATCAAATTAGACAATTAGTATGCATATATTAGGGTTTCCTCCAGTGTATTATAAGCCTGGCGGGCCGCCAGACTTTACTTCTGCCCCCACCAGGCTACGCATTGCTTATTGTTTAAAGTCTTTTTAAAATGTTTGCATTTTTTAGTACTTTATAGTCAGTGTTCAGTTATTAATCTTGCAAGTTTTCCGTAACACATGATTTCCTGTCAACTTTAAACATTTTTTGACTCAAAAACATGACGCGCCGCTGGATGAATGATTGCTCTAACACCCAACCACCGGTTGGGTTAGCAAATTTCCTTTTATATATATTACAGATGAAAAGGTTTTGTTGCTCAAGCATCACTTAGTCTATACCTTAAATACTAGAGACTGGGTAAAAAACAACATTTTCAACAACTCCGCAAAAGTATCAAATGTATAGTTGTGTATTGATGAGGTTTACCTCTTTGAGTGATGATGATATCGTGTCCATTATGTATTTCTCGTCGAACCATTTCCCTCCGTAGCGAGCTTGGTAGTAGTTGCTGATGCGAAGCTGCAACTCTGGTGGAAGCTTCATGAAGGCCATGTAGTGCTCCAAGCGACTCATCTGTGGAAAAAAAAAAAAATCAGCACTTATAAAGCATGTAATTTCATAATATAAAGCTTAAAGGACTCCAAGATTCATTTATTACAACTAGGAAATCTAAAAAGCTTAAAAGGATTAACCTTTTTTCTGTAACAGTCCTGCGCGCTGAAAACATTTTTCTTTGTGTCTGAGCCAAATGAAGGAGAGAATGTTTAACAGCAATTACGGTTTGATTACCACCATTTTAACAATTATATCCACAGAACCTGCAGAATTGGTTTAACGTGACTCTTTTAGTCCTTATAAACATGTTGTAAAAAATACATTTGCAGTATGTAAACTTGTTAAATATGTCAATGTTCAGTTTTGAAGAGAGAATTAATTAATTGTCAGAATAATTTTAGCACTGACAAATCCGACAATGAGTAACTCCCGTTTCTCATTCAGTCTGGTATAAATGCTTGTGAGCACTGACTCCTATTTAAGAAATTGTGGATTTTATTTATATTATGCTTTTATATTCTTTAAATGTACATGTATGATTTTATTGTGGGCTGTAACTTTTGTTATTTGGTTTTCAATCTGTAGCTATGGACTCAAGAGTCCAAGAATGCAACTTGAACAGAATTGAATTTTGGAACATGTCTTTAGTTTCCACAGCCATAAATGTATTTGCTGATAAAAATGTCTAATTATTTTGTTTGTAAGATAAATACCCCAATAAGCGGGGACTAGTTATTGTAGCTATATCAATGTTTCCGTACTAACATATATACTCGTCACAAAAAAACACTGTAAAACAATAAAGGAGAGTCAGCAATTTCAATAGCTAAAGGCTAGTACAAGGACCTTGCTCTTGTATTCCTTGGCTGCTGGGTCAAGGTTGGCGATCATGGTCGTAGCGTTGGCTACGAGGATGGTGTACATCATGCAGCCAGAGACCATGCTGACCATGACGATCCACATCTCTATGTAGTCTGGAGAGAAAAAGAGCTAGTGAGAACCTTTGGGTACTTGTTTTTTTTTGTTAGTTTTTTTTTTTTTTTAAAGTGTGAGATTCCTGAAGGAAAAGGTAGCGTCTGACTTGTTGGAGCGTCCATGGATCCGTAAGAGAGAGCAATCATCTGGGAGAGGGCTCTGAAAACTCCCCAAGAGTATTTAACGATGACTGTGGAGTTCTGAAAGAAATAAGGCGACGTTGTTATATTGCAACCAGTTACCCAAACCACCACGTCACCAAGAATCCACAGAACTGGCTCTCTAATTTGATAAATTTGTCATCCTGTCTGTACATTTGAAGAAAGGTTTGGTGGCCTTTACCATCAAGTTTTCCTTCCGAACCCAGCAGTCGGTGGGAAACTCCTCCAGCATGGGGACGAAGTACTGGATGCAGCCGTTCCAGTGACACAGCAAAAAGATCATCATGAAGAGAGACAAGATGCGGAAGAAGAGCCGAACTACCTCCAGGTTTGCGTTTGACACCTGCCGAGAAGACACGACACGAAAGAGTGCAAATTTCAGTGAATGTGCATGAAGTTTCTAGTATATCTACAACCTGTCATCAAACTGGCGCAGTCATATTGGCTAGGCAAATGTCGCAAGTAATGTTTTCCATGTGTTTTAGCCAATAATCTGCATAGCAACGGCAAACGCAGAGAAAAGCATGGTGTTCAAGAAGTACCAAAAAAAATAAAAAATTGGACTAAAAACCTGAATTCATCAAAAGAGCATTAGAATTACATTTTCTTCTGGATTAGTACGACTTCTGCTTTGGTCAACAGTTCGATCAAATGACAGATGTACAACTAAATAAGGCAGAGTAAGAAACGGGAGCGGTCAGACGATCACCCGGGCTGCAAACAAACCAACAGTTTAGTCAGATTACCCAAACAACTTAATCTACACCTAAATAAGTAATGATCTTCATCAGTCAGGAAAACAGTTCAAACAAACATAAAACTACAGGGCCGAATGTAAGTTTTGGCCTACATTTGGCCAAAACCTAATGTAGGCAAGCTCTCCAATATTCAGCTTGTCAATCTGGCTTCATTTAATTTGGTTATTAAATAGAAACACTGCTTGATAAAAATTATCATTTATAGGGGTGCACCGCATGTGTAACTGATGTCATCCACCAAGCTTATTTGCGTTTAAATAGCCACAAAACTTATTTGGCTTTTTTATGCACTACAAGGAAATCTAAAATTCAGAACAGTTTATCGGTGGCTTAAGCTGTTTTGTTAGTTCGTTGTCAATTGACTTCAAACCTTCTGATTTTTTTAAAAGCAAAACACTGCTGTTCACATAATTTTTTTTGGTAAGAGGACCAAAGCAGGTGTAGTTGGACCTGTTGTGACACTTTTGTTTGTATGTAAAATATGAAAAATTTAAACTAAAGTTTTTATTGTTTCACCGGTACTGTTAAATAATGTTCTTCAATAAAATAAGACTGGGCCATTGACATTTATTGTGACCTTACAACACCTGATAGTGTCACTTATAAAAACCAAATTGCTCTGGCTTGTACCGCCCCCTGAAGTGGTTTCAGAAACCAGGAATACCATGGTGTCTGTAAATGGAGAAGAATGTGGCTAGGACCGACTGAAGAAGAAGTGGTTAAATCTAGTTCTGCAGACAAGGGGCTAAAGAAACCAGATACTAATCCAGATGAGAAGATTAAGCGAAATGGCAAGAAATACTTAGCAGGAAACGTAGGTGTCCTGAGAAAACACTTTATAAACAGCAGAAATAACCGACAAAAGAAAGGCGTCTCCGCTTTGTAGATAATAGCATACAAAAAACAAACAGCAAAAACAGTTTATTTTTGATATTGTCAGCAAAGCTCACCAACCAAACTGCCATCTCTTAAGGAAACGGCATGAGCATAGAGAATGTAACATAACGTCTTTTGCCACCTTTTCCTTCAACAAGTTTTCAATCGCTTATTATAAGGGGATTATAAGGGGAACAGTACAAACGCCATGTCCAGCTCGTTGCTCGAACAGTAAAACCTAAACTAGATTTTCCTGCAACAAACATAATGAGCACAATTAGAGATTTAAAAAACCTTTATTTATAAAGGTTTTAGATTTGGAAGTCCTTTTGCGGAATACGGCAAAAGGACTTCCAAATCTTTTAGTTGTCGAACTTACTTTCTCAACTTCGTTGAAGAACCTGACCAGTCTGGACACTCGGGCCAGCCGGATCAAGCTGAGGATCCGCACGAACATCAGTATTCTCATCATCTTGTTGGCCTTGGATGGGTTGTCGTCGTTGTGGTAGTGTAGGTCCTAGAAACGCAAACAAGGTGAGGGTTTTGTGTTTTGATGTAGATCGCAGACAGCTCTCGTAAAAACTAAATAAATGAAAATAAAAAATATTCTCATTACCGCAAACAGCAGGATGTATCCAATGGGGAAAGCTGCTATGACGTCCGGGATGAACCACGTCCTCAGGTAGCAGACCCTGATTTTTTTGATGTCCAGAATAGCTTCCTGGAAGAGAGGACGGACACCGGATGTAGCCACGAACCGATTCAAAATGTTATCGCTCCGTCCGATCCGATATTTAGGGAGTACTTTGAAAATAAACCGCCATGCTGGCTCGGGTTTGCCAGCATGGCATGAATGAAGACTGGCATGAATGTCAGAAGTTCGTAGAAACAGACTACAAAAAAAAAAAAAGAAAAAAAGAAAGGTAATCCAGATGCAAATCCAGATGTTTGTGTTGAAAAATATCATAGACGTTTCATTCGTGATTAGCAAGAACTCTGATTCGGGGAAAACAAACGGGATATTGACAGAAGGGCGCTTAATTAGAAACGTTATACGCTCATTATAATCCCCGTTATAAAACCGTGCAGCAGGTGCCAATGTTGCCCGTATCTCAGGACGGGAGGTTAATCTAGCCTTTCGTGCACTGAGTGGATTACAGACGGGACCGGGATGGGTTGCATGAGCCCGTCGGCGAGGCGGATTATCGCTCCGTCCAGATTGTGTCTGAAAATGGAGCAGGCGGCCACTCTCACCTCGGCGTCCTCCGTGATGATGCCCATGCGGAAGTTCAGGACCACGTCCAGCAGAAACAGCGTGTCCGAGAACACGTTGAAGCTCTCCCACGCCAGCCCGCTGTCGCCGTCCAGGAAGGCGATCTCCATGGGGATCCCGATCAGGTTCAGGAAGGTGATGGCCATCATGACCATGATGTAGTAACTCCTGCAGGAGGGCAGAGGCGGAAGTAAAAAAAAAAAAAAAGAAGAAAGAAAGAAAGAAATCAATTTGTTTTTAGTTTGTTTATTTGTCTTTCTGAGACTTGAAATGTTCAAGTCCGTCCATCCAGCCATCCATCCATTTTCTAACACCCTTGACCCTTTTAGGGTCTGGAGGTTCTGGTGCCTTTCTCCAGCTGACGTTCCGGGCGAGAAACGGGGGTCATCCTGGACAGGTCACCATCTGTCGCAAAACGTGTTTCCTCTTTTCTAAAATTTCCGTAATAACATAAGAAAAGGGTTCAGGTTTTTGTCATGTTTTATTGCAGGTGTCTCCTTTTATCTGTTTCTATCTTGTTTGGGCGGTGCAAAGGAAATGAACATTCAAACCCCCTCCAGAAGCATCAGTACTCAAACAACGAGTATAACAACCCCTAACCCTGGGCCTAACCCAAAAATTTGCCGCGGTTTCCCACAGTGACCTCCATTTCCAGTTTTTCTCACTCTGTGGGGTTTTAAGGTAAATTTCCCCAGCCTCGTTTGTCAGCGCTCCGGTTGCTTCAAACCTTTTTATTTCTGTTTAGTCTTGTTTAGCCGAGCAGCTGCTTTCCCTGTGGTCATTTTCTGACCTGAAAGGAAAACATCTGGTTTTCTTTCCTGCCATGTTCTTTTGTCTTTCCCATTTTTAACAATTTTGAAGAGAAATTCATACTTTTTTTATTTTGTCATGATATGTTAATGCCTCAGGGACGTGCATCAACACATTAATCACCAGAAATAGTTACATTCACTGGAAGGGAATTTTCATAGGGGTAATTAATCGTGGCGCCACTTTAATAAAAAAAAAAAAAAATTTAAATTTACAAAAAAATTTTTAACAACTTTTTGGGAGGATTGCTAATCAGTTTGCTGTGAAGGTTTAATAGCAAAGATTTAAGGGGGGGAGGCATAAATAAATTTTTAAACACAAGTTTAAAGAAAATAGTTTGAAGTCCATTGCAAAATACTGTATGTTTGATACATTAATACATCATTGTAGTAACTGTCGCTGCATAGGAAGCAACATAAAGTACAAAAAAAATGTGATAACTAAAAATTGTATTTCTTAATTGGCCTTATATAATGATCCATTAATTAACATGTCTTAACAACCTAAAAGTCAGTCTGGTGTGGTGTCTAGATTTTGCCATGTTTGCACCTGAAATGTATCAACAAACCGTAGATTAAAAAAAAAAACTGACTACAGTTTCTCACTGTTACAGGATTTGAAAAACAAATCAAGTGGTGGATGGTGTAGTACTCGCGCCATGATTGTTTGTGTTTTCATAACAGGAAACATTTTCAGATTGTAATACTTGGAAAAGAAAGTCGAGGCATTCTGTCAGCTAGCTGTGCTCAGCAGCAGGTTGGGGAGGGGCAACTTTATGATAGAATAGAACATGCTTTATTATCCGCCAGGAGAAATCGATTATTTATTAACAAGCTACTCCATCCAAAGTGTAAATGCAAATATAACAATAAGTGACATAAAATGTATACGTTAAAGGACTTTTTGCATAGTGACTGCAGCTGTTTCCCTGTCATCTCATCGAAGAAATTTTAAACTGTAAATGTCAGTCAAGTTTTCATTTGGACAATTTTTCATCACCTGATTGAAATGACAAATAGTTTCTAATACTTAGACAGTTTTCTCTGTTGTCATTTTCATGCCGAGCATCCCATGCAGGATGAAAGTCGTCCCGAGATGCAGCACCGGGTGCCCGAAGTACCTCATGGGGCTGAAGGGGTGAATGACGAAGACTCCGCTCTCCAGCTGGCGCTTGCACTCCTGCTCCACGGCCACCTCGCTGCCGTACACGTACAGGGACTGCCTATTCAGCTGCGGGAGAAGCAGGGCTCTCCATCCACAGGTGGCCTTGGTAAATCCTGTGGTGGGACCTTTGAATTTCTCCATGGACTTCTCCTCAGTTCCCTCCGATCAGTCGAAAGCACGGGCCATCCCACCAACCATCCGCCTGCCCCACAGCTGCTCCTTTTTCTCGGGATAACTGCGTCTGACTCCGGCAGTCCCAGCCTCCCTCCTTTAGTCGCAAGGTGTTTGTCACACTCTGCCTCCCGGACTCGCTGAAGCTTGAGCGGATCCCCCGCCTCTCTTGCTCGATCCCTCCCTCTCTCCTCTCCTCCCTGTCCTCCCTCTCCTCCCTCTCCTGCCCCTGTACGCCTCCCATCTCATCAACTATTCAGTATCTGTGTCTCATCCTCAAATGAATCAAGCCATGTCACGAGGACATGTCCAGCTCGCATTAATACTAAGGACAATGGTGGGTGAGAACGTCACACACACACACACACACACTGTCATGGGGACCGGGCATCTGGCAGCGTGTGCAGGGACGAGTTCAGTCTGGGCCACGGAGCATGTAATTAAACCCTGTACCCGGTTACCTGATGCTGTACATACAGCATGCTTGGATCTTTGAACCAACTCCTTGTTTGCATCCAGAAGAGTCAGAAAGAAACTCAAAACAGGGACGGATGTGGCACCGAGTGAAACCAACAACTGGAAAAAAAAAACACAAAAAAAAGTGTCTTGTTTCTATTCTCTTAGAAAATGCAAAGGGAAAAAATGAATCTGAGCAGACAACTTGGATAAAATAAAAAATTACGTTACATAAGATGACAGTAGAATTAATCGCCAGTTCTTGACGGTGGGCATAATGAATGAACGCGTCGGTTTTTACCCTTTGTGCTACTTTGCTTCTTGAGCAACTCCAAAGAAGAGAAAACAGTTTAAACCCACGAAAGACACCCAGGAGGAGACTTTTGAAAGTCTTCAGCTCACCTGTCATGTCAGTGTTTGTCATTCCTTAAACGTCTCAAGAATCAAGAGTTATCTCCACAACAAATCACTGCATGTCAGGGTAGTAAACCTCATATCACCCAACAGAATCCTGAATGCAGGGAGGGCCACAGGGTGTTGTGCCAGGCCCAGCAATGTTTAGCCCCTTCACCTGGGACTGGAACCATCCCAGCTGATACAACGCCTGAAGTTCAGCGTCTTCAGAAGTTAACAGCTTCAGCCAGCAGCTCTTGATTCGTGGTGATGTTAATAAAACTGTAACTTTGAAAAAGGAATTCACATTCTTAAAAAAAAAAAAAAAAAATCTGTCGTTTCTATTCTAACTGACCTCAAGCAGGGAAACGGCTGATTTAAACTCAGGGAAAACAGAGCTTATGTGCTTTCACATCTATATTAACACGGATAACAGAAACATTGCATGCATTACAGTGTGTAAATTGACTAAATCCCTTCAGTTTTCCCCAATAATGTCTGAATTTTACAGATTCTAATCCAAGTTGAAAAGCTCTAACATATATATATATATATATATATATATATATATATATATATATATATATATATGTATATGTATATGTATATATATATATATATATATATATATATATATATATATATATATATATATATATATATATATATATATATATAAAACTTAATCACTAAGATAAACCGCTTGCATGTTCAGGTACACTTTGTCTCTGTCTCAATGTTTGTCCCAAATACGTTAGCCTCTTGTGACCTAAAACCGAATAAAATGCTGTATCGGCAGAGTCTGTGAAGCTTGTTAAACATTAGACTGTATCCTCTCCGTCCGTCATAATCTTGTTTTGGCTAGCAGATTTAAGTGAGGAACAGTGGGATTAAAAAATAAGCTAAAGAACATTGCATTTGTAAATAATTTGCTCTTCATTGTCTTTCCTGGACATATTGGACACAAGAAGCCAAAAACATTCAGTATAGTTCAGATATACTGTGGGATTAAATCACGTCTCCCAGACAGTATTTTTGGATGTTTCGCCCACAAATCTGTCTTTTATTTTTTTCCATCTGTACATGAGGCTTTGACGCTGGATTTAAATGGGACTCACAGGAACGAAAAGAAAATCCCTCGCAGCAGGTTTGTGGTCAGGGCAAAGTCGTCACTGAACACCAATTGTAAGTTTCAGGAGACGCTTGTGTAGACGCTTTTACCTTTAGCTTCCATATTTGAAAAGAAAATCTGCTACCCGTCCCATGTGCACATGTGTACGTTGTTTTGCAAAAGTGTCCCTTTTGCATCTCATTCACAAACTCCAGCGTACCGCGTTTGGATTTTATGCTAGAGTACTCAAAGGAGTAGATATTTCTGAAGTAGACGGAAAATTACAGATGGACGTCAAAACGCAAAACCGACACTGCGCATCAGCGTCCCTACTTTGAAGCATGGAAGTGGTAGTGTCGTACTGTGGGAAAGCTTTTCTTGCTGGTGAGAGGTATTGAGAAGCTGGTGCAAATGCAGACAGTTTTATTTTTCCTTCTTTTAAAAGTTTTTTAGGATGAGATTTCACATGTAAAAGTGAGATTTCTATCGTCTTAAATTGAAGGTGTCAGCTACAACACTAGGTATTCTTTCTTTAATGCTTCATCCATGATTGGACATTCACATTCAGAAGTTTGCATGCAACAATCACTGGTGTAAATGATTATATTTTCAGGGTGGAAGGACAATTCAACAAACAATTTCTATAATTTTTAATGAGATAGTTAGTAGAGAAACAAATAGTCAAGTTTTTTTTCAATCATTCTTGCAAGGTTTTTTTTAATATATTTTTTTTTATTTCGCTCAGATTAGATTAAAAACATTTTCTTGGCGAACAAAATCAAAAAGCCAGGAAACTGTAAATCTTTCTTACGTCGAGGCAAATGTCTGGTACCCAATAAGTTCTTCTCTTCTATTTTACTTTTTTATAATATATATTTAATGGATTTGTGAGCAAGTAAACAAAAATAAATAAATAGCATTCACTACAACTATTTGGTTTTTTTGTGCCTTTTTATTGGGACAAAAACACAATTATTGCTCGTTCCTTTTCAAGTCCGTATTTAAATACAGTTAGAAATCAGCTGGAAGATCAGAACAAGGCCTTTCCCACAGGATAAAAATTCAACCTGACTGAGCTTTGACTGAGCCTAGGGGGCGCTGTTGAGCCACTTGGCCGTGCCATTTTCCGGCTCCATTGCAAGGTTTGGTGAGGTTTTGAGTATCTCAACGCAATTCGTTCACAGAAATGTTTACTTTTGAAAAAACAAAAAAAAAAAAAACAATGGACCGTTGCAGAGCTTTCGCTGCTGCGGTCTGATTGTTCTGTGCAAACAAGAAAGAAAAAAAGGAGAAAGACATAAAGACAGAAATGACATGGCGCCTTCCAGATTTAGCCAATGCATTCTGCTGTGGAATACGGTATTTGCGTGCTTCTTCCCAAACAGTGACCTCAGACAAACAATGATTACGCTTCTGTCTTGACGCTGGAAGCTTCCTGCATATGGTAGGAGAAGGTGGCAGATGGTCAGGCCTGGTAATGTGGCTTTGAATTCTTGCTCCTTCCTGAAGGCAAAGCTCAGTTAAGAAAACAAAACAAAACATAAAAAAAAAAACATGTTCAATAAAACTGAACAAGAATCCAGGGGTAGGCCTACTTCACACGCTCTCAGATTTACATCGGTTTTCAAAAGAGCAGAGTGTGCAGAGCAGCGTGTTTTCACAAAAGGTGCACATCTATCACACAGAAATGAGCAAATGAACAAAATGCTTACTTGCCGGTTTATCTGGCACACAGCTGGCCCCTCGGACTGGAGCAAGTGACTCGGTTCTTCTGCTTGCGCGCCGCTTTGCTGATGCATCGACAGGTGAAAGAGCTCACAATAGCACAACTGTAGGACAGCAAACAGTTTCATTTCTCACAAGTCCCAAAACGCCGTCGTAATACTCTGCCTTGCACCTCGGCAGCAGCGGCAATATATGTCTTATGCAACAGCCGAGAAGCAATGAAACCATCGGCGAAAGGGCATTTCTGTGGCCGAGAAAGTGGAACGAGGCATTTCACCTCGAGTGACACAAAAGTAGCAGGATCTTATTTTACTAAGAACACAAAGATGATAAAATCTGAAGCAAGAAAATGATTTACAGTGAAGAGGGATTTTTGTAGATTAGGCTATATCTCATTCCTGCAGAGAATCAGATGCACATTTTGCATCGACTTCGCACGTTAACAGCTTCATCTAATTAGAGTTGGTGAAGCAGTGTCCACAGGGGATACAGCTGGAATAGTTATTATATTCTTTAGGAAATATTTTCACTGTTTGTATGTCGTCTTCTTATCTCCATCAGACTAATTGAAATAATATGGGGATGTTGGATTTAAATTTCAACCTCAGTCAGTTTGTTATTTACTTGTTTTTGTCTTTGCATACTGACCTAGTTTCAATAAATAAAAAATAAAATCTATCCTGTGCTCAATTAACAGCCGCAACATTGGTAATAGACCAGAACTTTGACAAAACAGGATGACTCAGCAAATTAAAAGAGAAGTTTATAGAAGGTAATCTTAAATCCAGTATTAAAATGTTGGATTTATTAATGAAAGTGTTTTTTTTTTTTAAAGCTGTATCATATTTATCTCGTGCGTGCAGCAAGATGGCCAAAACCTTCCTCGTGCCGTACGGTGGAAAAAGGAGAGACAGGACCCACTCCTTTGCAGTCAGCCGGCGCTCGAATCGGCTGAATGTGATGAAAGTGTGGGAGGAAACAGGTGACCGCTCTGAGCGATTTGAAATAGCAACGTCACTACCAGTGACAGAGTAAGAGTATCACTTTTACAACATTATGAAAGTCTAATGTACACTTTTGCTCTGTATTTGTGTGCAGTGGAGCAGCGTCCGAAATGACACGCCCACAGCTCCCCGCAGCGTCACCGGGTGAGCAATGGTGCGCATCCATTTCCACCGAAACAAATGTCGCTTAAAAATAATAAAAGTGATGCAGTAATGAGTTTTGGTTTTGGTGGATGGCTTAACTTTGTCAGTAGAGTCTCTATATAAGTTGCCCTGTCGCGCCAATGTAAAATATTAGATTTTTGTGTAGGCTTTAGCGCCGTTTGAACTAATTAACTACATTTCCCAGAATCCCCAGTTGACGCTTGAAGTCACGTGAGTAAGCAAAGTTAAGCACGTGACCTTTCTCCCGCATGGTAGTTTGAAGGTGAAGTGTCCAGGCTCTGGTGAGTTTGCGTGACTTAACACAGTTTAGTCTCGTTTCTAATCGGCGACCGTTTGAATGTCGCAGTTCAAGTGGTTTTAATTAAGACTGTGGCGTTTGCGCGGCGCGCGCCACCGCTAACGTCTATCAGCGTCGTATGTTAGCTAATGCTAGCTAACTTTATGTAATCGTTTTGTAACGTGCCTGAAAGTTACCAAACGGCGGTAAACCACAACACAGAGAAAGGCCAACAATTTAATCAAGCGTGACAAAGAACTGCTCTAATTCTGCCCATTTTTTTGCGTCGTTTGTTAAACAAACTTCATCTTTCTCGATTTCACCAGCACAGTTTGTGCTGATAACAGTCACGGATGTGCTGTCATCATCCACGTTTGAAATAGTCTCGCATTGTGTTTGAAATGAAATGATTGGTAATTTGGATGGTTCTGTGTTTTCTGTTTTAATTTTAGTAGGCATGCTTAATAGAGCCTCAGACTATATAAATTCGGACAGGATCCGGAAGCTGCAGTTCTGGGTTTATTTATGCCCTTCAACTTTGTTGGATCCTTTTGATCACATAAACAGCTTGTTGTGAAAGGTTTATTTTGATGTAAATGTGATGGGGGTTGTATAGCAGTTAATTGACGTGTAGTAGTTTTATTCAGGCAAAAGTTTCTGATATTGCTGTAAAATATATTGGAGCCATTAGCAGGAAGCATTCTGCCTTAACAATGTTTTCTGCTTCCATAATTTTTTACATGTAGAGATGGTAAATAATCAATTATTTCATTTTTTTTTGTAAAAAAACAAAACAAAACAGAAATATATATTTTCATAAAAATATTGTATTTTTTTAAAATTAAAAAATGCTTCGTGAAAATTCTGATCTTACAGGGGCTTCAGTTTGTGAAACAAATGTGTTTAAAAGTCACTAGAACTGGCTAACATAGACAGGAAGCGATTGTAAAGCAGCCATGTTTTAGTTTATTCCACTTCTTGTCTTTCTCTTTACCTAAAAGATGTTGGAAACTGTGCCTGCGTTTTTCAATGACTATGCAAGGAGAGGATTCACAGCATTTAATTTAACACAAATGTGGGTTTTCTCAATTGTTGACTTTTTTTTATGATTTTGCTTTTTTTAACAATGTGCAACACTTTGTTAAACTGCCTTGTTGCTGTAATGTGCTATACAAATAAACTTCATTAATGATGGGGTATGTAGATGAATTTTACTGAAATTGTTTTTTTGTTTTTACTTTGGCATTCAAAAATCTAAATGGACCATTTTACCGTCTTGGCTCCCGTTAGCTCAGGGTTTTTACACTAATCTATAATAAATAACCTTGTGTGGTGTGACTGTCAAATTATAATCCCCATTTTTAAAATTAGATTTTTTTTTAAGGCTTTGCTTTATTGAGATTTTCACAAATATTTTTGGTTGCTTAGTTTTGTTTTATGAATTACAGGCGTTATAAACTCCATCTAGGTAAATGTTTGGTCCTTAAATGCCTGCAATGTGGCTCATTAAATGTGTAAAAAAAAATCATAGAGAACTGGGTCTGGATGTTTTTGAAATGGTTGGAACCCTGGCTAAGGAACCCCGTGTCATCATTTCTGTATTTTAGCTCCAAGATGTCGTCCCTTTCGGCTGCCAGCGTGGAGACTCCTGCTGTGACTGATGGCACGGAGGAGAAGAAGCCTCTGAAGCCATGCTGCGCTTGTCCAGAGACCAAAAGAGTCAGAGATGCTTGGTAAGCACCTGGCCAGAAATGCTGAAACGTTTCCCTTTCTGTTTGTGGGAAAACCTTTAAGTCATATTTGTCTCTCCTAGCATCATCGAAAAGGGAGAGGAGAACTGCAGAGACCTGATCGAGGCGCATAAAGATTGCATGAGGTCGCTTGGATTCAAGGTCTAACTCCATTTTGTGCTTGTCCGTGTGGTAAGTATTTGGTTCCTGCAACAGCAGCTGTAACTTCTGGTTCTGTGGTCACACACTTTCATATATTGGTTGTTTTTAGTTTAGAATAATTCTGTATTATGTTTTCATGCTGAAAATTAAGTTTAAACGTTTAACATTGGAGAAATTTGTTGAAAGGCCTGGAAAGTAGAAAATCAAATTGGGAACGTCCAATTGGTTTCTCACCAACTCTGACCTTAAAATCCAATATGGCTGCCTCAGTTTGGGTTTAATATCATTCTCACAACCAAGTTGAAGCTTGAGAGGAAAATGGAGCACAGCAGAATGAAAACTCCTGTTGTTCTCTCAGTAAAAACAGTGACATTGCAGAAAAATGAAGACATTTTCAAAGGTCAGAGGTTGACAGTGAGTCAGATGGACCCCTTGTTTTAGCTAATTCTCTTGATTGAAACTCAAATTGCTGACGATCAGCACCACTGAAAACCCTGTAGTAAGTATTCTGGGTCAAATGGTGGCGCTATGGCACTGCCACATAACTCTGCAAAAACCACTTGAAGGCGCCACAGTTTTTTGGAAGTGTGGAGTATGTAGCATAGACAGATGGAAGTACAACGTCAATGTAATGACGCACTTCACATCAACCGGGAAACTAAAATGGATCATTTGGGTGAACAAATGAGGCATTTGTTCACCCAAATGACCCAGAATGCCGGATCCGTATGTTTTTCTCATGTTTTTCTGCAGAGAAAATGGCAGAAGCTTCTTTTGAGAGATTTTAGATGGTTAACATCCTGAGAGCATTTTCAGCTTGAGCTCTTGCAAACAGCTTAAAGCTGGTAAAACAGGATCCATCTCGTTCTCTGCCAGCTGGTTTCACTTTTCTGCAGACAATGACATGACATCTTTCTTCTACCAGTGAAGGACCATAACTTCACCCCCACACCTTCCTTGTTGACATTATCATTTTTTCATGAACTTGTCCGTCGTGTCTTGCTGCTGTCAGATGTGTTCTGACAGGCTAAATCCCAGCTGAGCTGAGTCAGTGTGGTGCGTAAACTGCCATCTGCCCTTTATGTGAACCGTGAAAATGCCCAACTTTGATCTGGTCCAGATACGGTCACTTTAGGTTGCGTTAGTCGCCACAGATTTTACGCACAAACGTCAGAATTCGTTCAAACAAAGTGTGTTAGAACGGATGAAACACAGCCTGAGGAGGGATCCTGATTGTTCATATGGAAACAAGCCTGAAGCTGTTTGACTCAGCAGTTTTAGTGGTGAGGTTGGTGTGGTCTAAATAAAACGTTTTCTCATTCTCCAACACTATTGGCTCTTCCATTCCATCCTGAACGTCTTCCTAAATATGTAGGAAAATCTGAACCTTAAACGATTAAGCATGATTAATTGTTGAAATAAATAATTTAGTAATCAATTAATTAACTGGAGTATTGAGCCTAAAAAAAAAAGGCATTTGGTCCAAATAAAATCTTAATCAAAGCAGTAATTAAGTCCCAACTGTTAAAACATGTAAACATTTTGCATTTAAGGTAAAAACACTCGTCTATAAAAACTCCTCGAGTGGCTCAGTTTGTGCTTCACACAGTTTAGATTTACATAAGGGTTGATTATTTTTCTGTTTGTGAAAGGGTTTGAATTATTTGTATATTTGAATGTATTTCTAATGTCGTGTGAAAAAAAGGCTCAATTGGTTAAATTAGAAACATGTAAAAAGTGTCATTTGTCTGACTAATTGTCAGAATAATCATGAGTTGCAGTTCACGTTATTCTCAGTTAATTTTGTCAAATCTATTCATAGCAATGAACTGACATAAATTAAAAAGCTGATTGGTTTTGTCTTTTCTCTCCTGCAGTGTGACGTGTGAGTGGAAGACGACCCTGGATATTCATGTCTTTTTTTTTCCACCCCCTTATTTATACATCCTCTGGAAGGGAAATGTGAGACAGAAGCACTTGAACTGATGGCTTTATGAGTGGATTCTTTTGTTTTTCAACTCTGTAAAATCTGCTGTGTGAATATCTTAAAGGCTGTGTGGTTATGAATAAAAGCCCTATGCAACAAGATTCCCTTTAGTCTCTTTTATCAGTCATATTTATCTCAATAGGTGTCCCTCTCATGCCTGTTGAAAAGTGTGGCTGGCCCACAGTTGCTGCCCCTGGTATGCACTTGTGCTTAAAAATAACTCTTGACCCTGCAAAGTCAATACTTGGCATATCTGGATTCTTTACAGCGTGTCACTGAAGTGTGTCTGATTGTGGACATGCATCCTCACGCTGCTAGAAAACGGCTACTAATGACACCCGGGTTTCTTTTACGCACCAGTTAATCTTTCATAAAAAAAAAAATAAAAAATCACTTCATTAGCCAAATACTGGAATTGACCAGAGCTGTTGTTTAATAACAGGCAGTTTGAACCTCGCTCAAAGCAGCTTTTAAATCCACAAAAATTTAAATGTTGAACTTAAACTGCTGATGTAATTTTATGCAAAAAGAGCTTAGGACAGAACGCAGAATTCAATGTTTTCTCCTGGAAGCTCCTCTGTTTAGCTCTTCTGGGAACGATGAGGGAACAACGTTCAGTTGTGACCCAACAGCTCCTTATGTGGCGCCACGTTCTTAAAGGGACAGCTCATATTTTGTCACAAACACATTTTGAGGAAACTTGTGATTTGAAAAGTTCAATGTGACAACAGAAAATGATAATACAGTAAATTATCTGCAGTAAAACAGGAGAGATTTTGAGATTTGCCAGTGGGAACAGGTTCCATCTTTCTCAATGCAGCATAGATTAAGACGCACCCCCTCCTTTCGATTCACATTTATTTTGAGTAAAATTATGTTATGACACTGAATGATTTAATATCAGCTTAGTTCAATTGTGTATTGAGTTGCAGATAAACAGTGCACATTTCTGCTGGAAAATTACTATGTTCCAAAAGTTGCAAGAAAAAAAAACTTGATTTTATTTTAGGTTGATCCAAGAAATTTTCCAGAAGTAATTTTTTGGACTGATGAAAATTCAGTTTCAAAAGTAAAACATTTAAACTTTTTTAAACTCCGTCGTTGCTCGGACATTGTGATGGAGTTGTGAGCAGAGACTTTCCCAAACAGAGCGGCGGCATTAGCGGCTGTTTATGCCTGAAACCTGACCTCCCCTGCGGTTCTGTTTATTTCTGTGCCTCTGAATACTCGTTGCTCCCCCCATGAAGAGGCAGACCTGGAACTGGACTCATCCGAGTTTGGAGAAAACTCTGAACTTTAGGTGTGTGACATTTTCTTTTCCTTTCTGCCTGTTTCTCATCATGTAGCCCATCTCTCGTCCCTTGCTTCCTGTCCCTGTCTCTCTCTCTCACTGTTATGTCAAGTAGCGGGCCTGCTTTCTGTCCCTTCACTCTCCTTGGGTTTCAATTCCAAACATGGTTATCCTTTTATGGCTCTATCGGGGTCCCCTCCCTTATCCCTTCTTCTCCATCTGTTGGCTCCTCAGTGCGGGCCGGTGGCACTGAGCGAAAGGCGGGGAAGCGAAGACAAGGGCAGAGGACAGAGGAAGGGGACTCGCGATGAGAGGAGGAGGAGGACAGACCCATTCCAGCTGTGTTTCTGGAGCAAACAGAGCCGTGAGAACTTCTTCACATTGAAGAATTTTTCCACTGCACGGCAAGGGAACAAACTTTTTTTTAATATATATTTATACTCAGAATCAGCTGTTTATTTCCTATTACCCAAACTCTGCAGCTTGGAGCTCTTCAGACTCTTGAGTGTCTCGGAAGTTATTTCAGTGTCACTGTTTCCGTTATTTGTTTTGAGCGTCCAACCAAACTGCAAACATGAGCGCGGATAACTCGACCCTGTGGGATGGCTTGTTTTCCCCGCCGGAGTGCGGCGGCTGGAGCAACAACACCGAGGGGGCCATCTACCACCTGGGCAACACCATCCTGTTTCTGGGCTACATGGGAGGCAGCGGGGCCTTTGGCGCCCTCTTCATCTTCGGCTTCCTGTCACCCGCCTTCCTGTGCCTCACCCTGTGGGGCTGGCTGACCGTGTGCGGCCTGGACGTCGTCTCCTGGAGCCTGCTGCAGCTGGCGGCCGCCCTGCTGCAGATCTGCCACCTCCTCTACCGGCTCCACCAGGAGGGCCTCCGCGGCGAGGAGCTGACCTCCCTCTACCGGGCCGTCTACCTGCCGCTGGGCGTGCCTGTCCAGGTGTTCAAGGACATCGCCAAGGCGTTCAAGAACAAGGTGGTGGAGCTGAAGGCCGGAGAGACGTACGCCCTGGAGGGCAAGACGTACATCAACCAGCTCTCCTTTCTGCTGTCTGGGAGGTGGGGGAGTGCGTTGTGAGGTCGCAAGCGACACCAAATTCATCTAGATGTTTCTAACGACACGGCGTTTTCATTACAAATGCGCGCAAGGCTGTTGATATTCAGCTAATGTAGGACAAAAAAGCAGTTTTGGAGTCTCGGCGTTAAAATACACAAGTGGATATATATGCTTTTTCACACAGTTAAAAAACATGCCATGCCATCATCATCCTCCAGCTGCTTGCTGTCGTCAGCATCCACAGCAGCAACACCACCGGATGTGGGCCTAGTTGGTGATCGTGTGATGCAAAAAAAAAAAAAAAGTTTTCATTGCATTTTTGCGAAATAAACCAAATTCGATATGGTCAAAAAAATAAAAAACACGACAAAAAACTTGATCCTCGGACCAAAACAAGAGTGTTTTCCAATTTGCCATGTCTCCATTAAGCTAATTTATTTTAAAAATGTCAAATGGAATCGCAGTTTGTGTTACAGTTACTGCTGAGCCAACTCATTTCTAGTGCACCATATTTTGTTTTTGCATAAACTGCAAACCAAAGAAAACAGCAGGTTGCTCCATCAAGCCTTGTCCAGCTTCTTCTGCTTCACAGTAACGGTAACAATACATTTGTACTGCCAACCCCAATTATCAAACAGTGATAAACAGCTCTTCCCCATGGTTACATTCCATCTTAATGAAATTAACACCAAGTATTTTTTACTTGCTCTGATAACCAGAAATATATATATATATAGTAAATACATGCTGCAGCCCTAAACCAAAACTATCTATCCTTCCTAGCCTGAGGTTTGGTTTTACACAAACAACTCAGGACATTTACTCCGTTTAAGCGAGGCCTTAGCCATATGTCTTAGCTCAAAAAAACTTGAAAAAGCTCTTCCACCGCCGCGGACCGCGAGTCCGCCATCACTGATAGTTAATTTATCGCCCAGTTTAGCTACAAAGTAGCAGGTGCGTCATCACGTCCTGGTGAACTTCTTCTGGCGGCCAGAGCTCAAGCAACTGGCGCATTGGACGCCGAGCGCCCTCTGCTGGCAAAACTCATATTACAGTTGTAAACATCGTAGTTGCACGAAAGAAGAAGAAATGGCGGTTCGGGAGGGACTACTTACTACTATTTCCATGTATTTATTTCATAGTGTCCCTTCCGTTATATCTGACTTAGCCTAAAAAGAGTTTTAGGCTCTTTTTTTTTTTTTCAAAATGAAGATGTTTTCGTTCATGTTGTGCACTGACACTTTTGAGGAAAAACTTCACACAGGAAAACGATTTACTGATTTGAAGTCACTTTGATAAATTTAATGGGGGAGGGGAAAGGAGCTATTTTTGGTTATGAAAACCACAAAACATACTTTGTGTTTTTCTATTCGGTCCATTTGGACAACTTCCTCTGTCATAAAGAATTGGTTTGGAAACTGCTTTAAAAGTCGAGGTTATTCGTTTTCGCTCAACTTTCAAAATCAGCAGCATCGCTAAAATTAGACGTCAAAGTTCTGACTCTTGCAGACTCTTGGCAGCTTTTGACCCTCACAGGAAGTGTGTTCTCTTCACCCAAACATCCTCAAAGCGGAGCTGCGTTGGAGCTGCGGAAGAGAAACGTCGCGTACGGCTTATTTCGGTCCGTGACTCATCAGTGGGGGTCCCAGTGCAATCTGACAGTGTTGCAGTGATATCTTTTCTTTGTGCAACGGGAGAGCGGAGGCACACAGCTCTCCTTACCTTGCATTAAATTCTTGGCCATGAAACCGAGAATCTGAGACAACTTTGGAACAACAAACAAATGTCTGAGGAGTTCTTTTCACCGAAGTGGTGAAATGTTACACAAGTTGCCTTTCAATGCGACAGTATTACTGCTGGCAATGTTCTGTATTAAGCATCAGTTTCGTAATTGATTTAACTGCAATATCAAACAAGAAATGCAGGCATTGACATGTTTTTTTAAAAAATTATTATTATTATTTCAGAACAATTAATAATAATCCACAGATCATTTGTGACTCTCTGTGCAGGCCAAGGGGGAACAACCTCTTACATTACTTTAAATAAATCTCTCCTAGTTTTAACCTGGAGTTAATTAACACGTTTAGCAATTAGTATAATTTCATCAAAGTCAGTGGGGCTGATATCTATCTATATCAGAGGTTGTAGGTCTAGAAGTTGGAATATTTATCATTTGCCATAAATACTTTGCTCCTCATTCTTTGAACAATCTGCAATTGCCCATATTAGCGCCAACCTGGTTGTGGTCTGCATTCATTGGACCACACTGAGAGTAAAATACTTTTCCTTAAAGCGTTTCAACGATCGTTCAAAGTGATGAACGAAGCAAGTCTCTCTCAGATTTGCCAGTGTATTCTTCCTGTGACTCATCCCTTCTTAAACCATCTTGGCACCTCCTCTTTGCTTCCCAGAGAAAAGTACTTAGAGGGACGAGAGGTGGTTGTGATAGATGTTGCCGTTTTCTTAATTTGCTAAAAGTTTAAACTGAGTCTCGTCTGACTGTGCCTTTCTACTCAGTCTCCCAAACGTGGAGCAACATTATACAGCGTATTTCTTGGATGATGCAAAGGAGCATGTTCCAGACAAGATCACAAGGCAAAGAATATTTTATCAAGATTATCTCCTCTTGATCATACTCAGTAAGTTAAACTGGATCATCTCACATGTTTTAATCTTCTTTCATGATTCTGCTGGTTGTGGTTGTTAGTTGTGTTGAGTTAAGGGTCCTTTTGTTTTGGGAACTTCAGAGTCTCTTCTTCGTTTTTGGCAAGTGGTGTGGTTCTGCTGGTATATTCAACCTCTGACCTTAGCATTCACTGGAGCCAGTTGAACCTGAGTGTGAAGGCCCCAGGAGAAGAGGCAACGAGGAAATGGTGGAATACTCCCTCCAACCTGGGTTGGGTGGGAGTTTCTTGCAGATCTGTTGAATGGCAAACATATGAAATAACCTTAAATGACAAACTATTTGTTGGCAATACATTTAGCCCACTTAGAGCAGACGCCCTGCTCCTCTGCATCAGAAGAAGGCGATCTGATAAAGTTGCCTATAAAGACAGCCATTTGGAGGTCCTTGGACATCCCAAAGCAGAACCAGGAGTAGCTAAATTGACTAAACCAACCCTTCCTGTTAGGAAATGACTTGGTCTCTCCAAATGTGTTGATGCAGAGGGATGTTTGTGGGGTTATTCACAGGGGTTTGGTACCACAACTGGCTGTTTCAATCTGTGAAGGCTTGAGGCTTCCTCTAAGAACCCTTACAGCAGCTTATTTAAGGAGTTCAAATATCAAATATACCTTAATATGAATGACTATGTACGGTGGGAACCATCTTGGCACTATCGCGGTAAGTAACCGCCACCATCTTCCTTGTCTCCGGTCTTGAGGTTACAGCCAGTCATTGGCAATGAACATGAATGGTGCCTCTGTATTGGTTGCTTTGCAAATACCAGCCAAAGCATGTCACGTAGCATTGCTCCTAGGTTGAGTCCAACAGAATATGTCGTAAAATAGTTAGTAAATAGACAGATTTTCTGCAAATGGTTCAGGGTGAATGAATGTACTGTAAAGTGCTTTGGGGGTCCTCTGGATTGATAAAGCACGATACAAGTACATGCCGTTTTACCATTTTTATTTCTCTTATTCTCACTTACAGGATCAATGTGTCTTTGGAGGGTCAGTTCCTGCATTACATTCACCGGCACCAGTTCCTTGACTCCCCTGAGTGGGAGTCTCTCAGACCAAATGAAAAAGGAAAGTTTCAGGTTTGAGATCACTTCATATTCACACCATTGCTCATTTCAGGGAGATACTATTGCCAACAAGGCACAAATTCAAGAGTTGCCCTTTGAATTTTCCGTAGGTGACGCTGACGGCAGAAGAGGACTCCCGCTACGTCTCGTGGAGTCGCCGCCGTCTCTACATGCTGATATCAAAGGACCGCTACATTGACTACCTCTTCTCCGTCATGCTCGGCTACGACATTTCCGAAAAGCTCTACAACCTCAACAACAAGCTCTACATAAAGAGCGGCGTGCTGCTGGACATCCGCCTACCGAGCCTCTACCACGTCCTGGCGCCTTCCTCGCAGGGCAGCGACGGCGGCAGCGGCAGCGACGGCAAAGAACAACACAGCCAAGACCCTGAACCACCCTACCAGTCGTCTCACCCCGGACCGTCTCAGGCCCTCAGACCTGACCAACAGGGACCAAGGACAAGCCAGGTGTCCGCTGAGGACGGTCCCGATCACCGCCCCTGGGCCACAGACCCGGAGACGCCATCTGGTGAGGATTCCACTAGCCTGATCCTGGAGGACTTTGCTGATGTGGCGGGCTCCTTAATGGACTATGGCAGTGAGAAAGATTATTTAAGGTAGAGAGGCAGGGTGCTGGAGCTAACACACTGGGTCACCACTTAAGCTACATGTAAGTACCTCACTTGGCTGGATTGGGGCGCATGGGGGCCTCGTGTGCAGGGATGACTTGCAGTACACAGTTCTTACTAACATAATAGTGAAAAAAATGGACAGAAAATCACAGCCTCATAATGATACTTATTCATCTGGCATCAATTAACAATTTAAGGCTTAATATGGTTGAATGAATATATATATATATATATATATATATATATATATATATATATATATATATATATATATATATATATATATATATATATATATATATATATATATATATGTGTATATATATATAATATATATATATATATATATATATACACACACATAGATAGAATAATACTTCACTGCAGCATTAGCCGCAGATGCTCTGGAAAATGTCTCTAGCAGGTTTTCAAACCGGAGACTCAACATTTTTGGCCATTCTTCTTTGCAAAAAAACACAAATAATTTGTGTGAACATGAACTTCCAAGTGTCTTTAGGGCTGTTGTCCTCCGGCTCCCCTTCCGTCTCAAGACGTTCGCATATGTTCTTTTTAGCATTTAGCATGTAATCTAGAGATTTAAACATTTTTTCCCTTCCCATGCCAACTACCTCTGACAACTTGCAGGAGATTCTTTTTTTCTCTCAACAGTCCATTTCTTTTTGTCGATAAAATCTAGATTTGTTTATATTGAGATTAAATAACACATAGCAGAACTCTGGGTGCACTTTTTTTCCTGATTGATTTATTTTGAGGTATTGGAGTAAAAAGGACTCCACAAACACATGGTACTAAAACCACATTTTGCTGTTTTGTGTTGGTTTGTTACAAAAGATCCTAACCGTAAATCTTCTGTTTGAAACCATTGTGTCAAATGCAAATAAATAAATAAATACAAGAGTTATTAAAAACAGGAAACAAGAACAGTCACAGCATTCATGATTGTTGTAGCAACAACCCTTTTGTTATAATATTTAATAAAAAAAAAAAACCTTACATGCAGTTAAAAACCCACAAATTTGCCTTATTTGTTCCTGTTTCTCCAATATGTTCAATGCACAAAACAGAATGAGCTCTGCAAAAATAAAAAAATCCTGCAAATCTGTGTTGAGTGGAATACAGATATAGTTACAATCGCAAAAACAGAATCTTCAATGTTAATAAAAAAAATTGCAAACATAGAGGGAAAGACTGGTAAAAAAATATCCAGAATGATGTATGCAATGTCTCAAATGTTGCTTGGGTTTTTTTTTTTACCCCCAAGAAACAGATAATCCAAACATACACAACATAAAATAAGGTGTATTGCTGTTATTCTTATTTAGTTTACCCAGTCAGTGTAACTCCAGCTGTAGTTGGCACTCATGTCTGAAATGAGTAACTTAGAGATACATAAAAAATGCTGCTGGCCTTCTCGGCTGTGGGGCTGTCTGGATTATTTCCCCGTGTTCAAGTCCAATTTAAAGACTAAAATATTCTCCATATCAGTCGGTTTGTTTTAAATAAAGAGTGCAGTCATGTTTTGGAGCAGTGACAGAGTGAAATATGGTTCAGCTTTATCAGTGGAAACTGTTTTCGCAGCTACAAACACATTGTGTCGTCAGTGCCAACCATCCTGCTAGATGATCTGCAGCGGGTCTGGACGCAGCGGCTGTGACGTCCGGCTCAAAGCAGCTGTGTTCCTCTTATGGATTACAGCTTGTAAATTCAGGGGACATAAAAAAAAAAAAGAAGAAGAAAAAGAATCCAGTGCCATGCCGTTAATCTGGCGTACCCACTGTTCAGCTTTCAGCCTGCTTATATGTTCCAGCTGCCCTCTTCAGCCCTGGCATGGCGCCCCTCCCATCGCAGTGGCAGCACTGGTCCAATCCAATCACAGGTGGAGGATCACACTTCACGGAGGGGGGGAGGAGGTCAGAGTTCGGCACGGGTTGCAGGACAGCTGTGAAGCAGCTGAAAAGCATTTTGGTCCATCAAACCAAAATACATCATTCCTGTTCTCAGTACGGACAGCAGCCTTGGGTCAGTTTAGGTTTAGATGTTTGACAGTTTTATTTCACAATTTTATTTTATTTTTTTTTACAACAACATAGTTTATTCTTGGAAACATCTCAGAAACACAGTTACAAAAGTGTCCACACCTAGCCCTGTCCCAATAAGCAACCAATCAATTAATCGCGTGATAAATTAACACGAGCTCAATAATTTCCACTTTCATGATTTATTGTTTTTCTCTTTTCTCTCTTTCTGCCAAAAACAGGATGACTAAAATCTTCAATCTGGTGTTTTGGTCTCAACCAAGCCCTTTTTGGATATTAAAAAATATTTTTGACTAGTTTCAATGATAAATGTTTATTAGAATTTAAAGTTTATTGATCTTTCAGATCGTGTCATTGCATTACGTTAAAATGGTCTCAAAACAACAATATTATCGTTTATCGCAATAACTCGTGGGACAATTTATCGTCCAGCAAAACGTCCTATTGTGACAGACCTTTTCATTTTTTGTTACATAAACAAGTTCAACACAAGGTGGATAATTTTGAAATAAAAGCAAGTGATGAGAAGTCTTACTTATTTTGGTCAAATATAATCCATAGAAAATTTATTGGTTGTCACATGACAAAATGTGAAAGTTGAGTGGATGGGAGTAATTGTACTACCATGCTTATTTTATTTTTTGTGGCCGATGCTAGAAAAATGCTTGTGTTGCATTGTTGTTGTTAAATCTAACAAATTAACTTTTTTTTAAAAAAGTTGTAGCTCCATTGTCTTTTTTTCCGTGACTGCAGATTTAATCTATTTGTACTGTTTTTTTTTTGTTTTGTTTTGTTTTTTTGGTATTTAATTTCCACAACATAAAAGGACACTTAGATTTTAGATTTTAGATTTTATTTTTCTTATTATGCTGGAAGTGATGTGCAAATATTAACAAATACCATAAAAGAAAATGTAGGGGAAATAACAAAAATAGTAACAGAAGAGTTGTTCTTTAAAAATCATGGCAGACTTTTGCCTCTACACCCGTTTTATTTAGCTGGACTGAGGGCAAAAACAGATCTTTGAATTGAATCGTTTATTCCATAGGAAACTTGAGTGAATTAATGACATTTTTCAACGAGATCTGTTCTAAAAAAAACTCCTCTGATATCCACCGTTGCAGGAAGTGACGGTGATGGGAATTTACCTCCTCGGTTCCAGAGACGCAGAGCTCCTCTGGCTCCCACCGACACGCCGAAGCTGTGAAGCCAGCTTCTTCTTCTTCTGTCTTCGGTGCAGCAGAATGAAGCAGACTCTTGCTTCAGCCCCAAACGTGTGGCACATCTCATCTTTATTTTATCCTGCATCGTTTTGCCGAATGATGCTGCCCGTACTGACAACATGCACGTTCCCATCACCCTAACCACGCCACATTAGTCTCCCGTGTCACATTTAAAAGAAAATTTGAACTAACTGAGGTACTGTTTAGATTATTTTATTTTCAAATTATGCTAGCGAACTCTTTATCATTTTTAAGTGGATTTAGGTTAAATGAAAACCATCTATTTACACCCACTGCATAAAAAAATTGTTTCCTCACTCTGAACGAGTTCATCATTTTCTGCCTCACTTCTCTGTTCAAACGCTGCAGGAATCTCCAGATATCAATCGGTTTATGAAAGAGACAGGTTTTCTGTGCGGGTTTTGGTGTTAAACGCGCAAATGAAACCCTGAACATGAACAAAGTACCTCGTAGACATGAGGAGACATTCAGAGGAAGAAGATATTATCCATAAGGAGGTATGACAGTCTTCCGATGCAGATGTAAACCTTAATTTTTGGAGACAGGTTCTGTGGTTGTACCGATGCACCGATCCACTATTTCTCTTCCGACACCGCTACCGATATTTGAGGTTTCGAAAAACAGTGCTGAGCTGACTTGAAATGTTTCTTTCTTTTTAAAAAACGCAGACATAAAAGTACCGAATTACAACTTTCTTTGATAATTCTGCACACTTAAATATACCAGTAGATTAACAGGCTAACGTGTAACAACAACACAACTTTCATTTGTTCAGTATAAGAGCCGATGTGAAATCACTAATATACTGAAAATGACCAAAAGAACAGGTACAAAGCATAGAATTAGATTTAATAGATCTACCCCTACAGATTGGGCACATTGTCACCGATAGCCGATCTACAATTTAAAAATAAATATCAAAATCGATACCGATATTAATATTTGATCGGTGCCTCTCTACTTATTTTTTGGCTACAATAACTAGAATTAAATTTAGTGAAAAATACAAAGAACACTGATAGCATGAGAGAAACACACCAGCAATAAATTAGAGGGTTGGCAGCATCTTGTTGAGTAAAGCATTTGTCACAAACGGACCTTCTGATTGAACGATCAGAATATCACCGAATTAGAGAAGGGGCTTGAGGAAAACAAAGTTGACTGTTTTGACGTGACCATCACCAAACCGTAAAGAAAAAAAAAAAAAAAAAAAACGAGACAAAAAGAGGTAGTATATAAATGTAGCAAAACCTGTTTTGTCAAGAGGAATGCTAATGCTAATTTGAATCCAACTTTTGACACTGGTAGATAGATGCCTTTACCCAGAAGCTGTTCACCTTTAAAAGATCTTTTTTTGGTTTTTAAAGGGACTGCATGAATCAAAAAAACAAAAAACAAAGCAAAACATCCAAATCATCGTCACAAGCTCTTCTACTGACGATGATAAATGTCTTTATTCTGTAGATAATGGATCCCACTAATGGCAATAAACTCAATTAGTTAAGACCTTCATGGAGGGATTTATCATCCTTTCCATTTTCAAAACATTAATTTTTCACGTATCGATTTAAGGTTCACTTCTGCTCCACTTAATCACTGATACGGTTTTGTCTCACAAATGAAACCGTTTGTCCTAATGAGCCTCGCACAGATCCTCTGGATCCGATTCACTGGAACTAGACGGGAAAACAATCCCAGCATTAACTGGGATCTGGAAGAACATGTGAGGAAAACTAGTCATGAGTTACATATTTCTCCTGGTTCCTGTAATGAGGAAATGTATTTCTTTCTGTCTCTTTGAATCCTGATCCTCCTGTTGGACGCAGTGCGCTTTCGATGAATTCATCCGTTTGGGTTTTTTTGGTCTTTTTTGTCCCCTCGTATTTCGTGGAAGTTAATGGTTTAGTTTTTCTTCGATGTGAGTGCGCGACGTCTTGCTCTAATTTCATAAACGTGCGAAAGCGTGCGGTTCCGATGGCGAATTTCCCCAGCAGATGTCCTTTTATCCCTTTGTTCCCAGATGACTCAACACACGCCTGTAGCTCACATGTCGGGTTTTATAACAACGGGCTCCGTAGCGAGCGAATTAAAACGATGAATCGAGCCGTTTGTTATCCATAACGAAAGAAGAGAAGAAAACAATCACGGGGCCAACATTTCTCCGTGAAGCTGTTGCATGTGTGTGCAGTTTTCCAAATGTCTTCTGTGCATATGTTTTCTTTTTTTAACAAGATTACACAGACTGCGATGGTTGTACAGTCCAGACGTCTGGCGCTCACTGACGGTAAATCACTACGAGGGCCTTAAAATATCTTCAAACAGAACGCTCCGACTCCGTCTGAAGAACTATTTTGTTGTTTTTTTTTCTCCACAGCTAAAAATGTTTTCCATATTTATTGACTGCAAGAAAAGAAAAACGCTGCCCCTTGGTCTGTTTTTGCTCGTTTTTTCCTCCCCATCCTCTTTTGGAAATGTCCCTGCCTTGTAAAACTAAACAAAGAAGAAAAGAAAAAAAGACAATGATGCTTTGTTTATTGTTGAAGGTGTATCTAAGTGACAGAGTTATGCAGTTCGTTTCACCTTGTAAACATTTTTCAGAGACAGAACTCGTCTTTGAGGACAAATGAAATCGTTTCATTCAGAAATGAGATGGAAATCAGATGGATTGAGTATCCAGGTTGCCAAAATGTTCTCTTAAGACGCACACGCTTTTCTCTGACCCAAACAGGATGACGACGGCGCTAAACCGTCTCCACGATAACACGCCTATGTCTAAGTTTTGACGTAGCTCCGTTGATGTTTCTACTTATTGTCCTCGGCGTGGACTCGCCCGTCACGAAGTGCCGCACACCTGCACGAAGTCGTGCGACCAGGGAACTCCCCGCCTGATGTCGATGTCGTTCACGCAGAGCGGCGCCTCGTGCCTGGCAGGATCAAACAACAACACTGAAAATTAAACACCTGTGAGCAGAATTTCCTCGCTCCTCTAAAACCAGGACAGAAATTATTCAGATGTTTTGTTGAGGGGTTTTTACACTTCCACTGCAAATGTGGAGAATTTTACTTTATCTTTATTTAATACTGCTGCATGTGAGCATCTCTTTATTCACCAGTGAATAAAGAGAAAATAAGTACATCCACTTTCTATTGACTAAACAGGCAAAAAAACTCAGAAGCACATCTGGTAACTTTTTGCCACCCTCTCATGAAGTGGCACCCTGGGCAATTGCCATATCCTGACCTTAAATCCATCCTTAATTCGTTTCTTCTCATTTTAGTGACAAATATTTAGCATTTCTGGAGGTTACGGCAATCACCACATTTCTCCCAACAAGTTGGATGTAATTATGTATATTGACGATTAAAACACCCATCAGCTTTAATCACACACTGCCAAAACATAAAACCAAGAATTTTTGGTTTAGTTTCTTGTGCTAATATTCTTGAAATAAATTGACTGACACCACGTTCGACCAATGAAATGGCTTTTCCCGAGCCGCTAGTATCCAGAGAGCGGCTTGAGCTCATTTTGACATGCCTGTATTCTTTCTGGAATATTTCTGACTGCTTCTACTCGGAGACGAAATCTAAAGCCACAGGTGTGTGTCCAACACGTGTCCTGTCATGAGCACAATCTACTAAAACTATGTGACCTGCATTATCAGCATAACCTACAGTCAGTAAAAAGAGCGGGACATTGCAGAGAGAGCTAAAGAGCCAACTTGTTGAACGTGCACCAACCTGTGGAGCGGCAGCTCCGAGACGCACACAGACTTGACGTGGACGTCTCCCTGCCTGTAGAGGCGAGCGCCCGTGTTTTTCAGCCTGATGGAGTCGATCAGGCACAGAGCCACGGGGTGAGCCAGCACCCTCCTGTACACCGTCGCTTCAGGCTTACTGCAGGAAAGAGTGTGAAAGTAATGCCACTAAATGTCATTGTTCCGAAGCTTTTGAACAATCGCAGACGTCGCTGTTTGTGTCTTTATTTTGTATAAATTCAGATGAACTGCAGGCTGAAGTCAAACGTTAGACCACGAGGGTAAAGGCCTACATCTAGATTCTTGAAACAACTTCTAAAAGAGTCACAGCAGTAACTAAAAACTGATTTCATGACCTATGAAACCATCACGTTTGTATTGGTTGCTTATTTACAGAAAAGCTCATGACTGCAAACATGGTAAATGAAGGTAGGGGGCGTTGCACCACCAATCATCTTCATAAGAGGAGACACATTATGAAAGCATAATGTTCAGGATGTTCTGACTTATGTAATGTTTTTATTTAAAAGAAAATAAGACTGAGTTTTTTTCATAATTCACACTTACCAGTTTTATTGAATTTTACACTCGACTTTTAGATCATCTACAGTCTCTTTAAAAATAAAACGTATGAACAACTTAAAGCTGCAGTATGTAACTTTTATAAAGAATATGCTGTTTTACGTTTGTTGAAACTGTCAACATGTCATGACAGTATGAGACAGATAATCTGCAAAAAGATCAACTTCCTTCACCTCCTCCCTGAGCTGCTGCTGCTGACTGAAGAAATGCACCAAAAGCAACCAGTCAGAGTCTCGGTGCTGTCAATCAATGTCATGCACGCGTTGCTAAATGTAAATAATGGTGGAGAAGCAACGTACTGTTACAGGAAAACAGCTTGCAGCTTATCTGCTGTCATTGGTAGCTATGCTAACGAGCCAACCTCTGATTGGCTGTTTCTAATTCACAACGGGAGAAGGCAGAGGAGCTCAATATGTTCACAGATTATCTGTGTCATACCAGATAATTACCAGACTCTGACAGTTTCAAAAAATATGTAAAAAATAATAATCTTAAATAGAAGTTACACGTTAAAGTTAGCTACTTATCCCCTTTAAACAAAACATGTCAACCAGGCAGCGCATCCTTTAAATAGGACACTTTCTACTCTAATACAAGGCACAATATTACAATAGACAACCAGCTTTTTCATCATCATCATCAACTTTAACTGGACGTTAAAATTATAACTATTTTTCAGGCATGTTGTCGCTTATTCTTTCCCATGTATGTATATGGCTTTTCTTGCAAACAAATTTCATTTTCTGAGCCCAAAATATTAAAAGAAACCTAATAAATCCAACTACAGACGTCTGACGATCCCGAGCTCTGTCCGCCGTCGTAGAAGAAAAGCCGAAAAATGGAAAAAGAAACTCTTGGCAAACTCCTTCAGAGCTGCTTGTGCTTTCTCAGCGTTCCTGCCTCGGTTTGCTGCACCTGGCCGGAGCTGAGCACCTCTCGGCCCAGAATAGAAGCTCCCCCTTC